GCCAGCGCTCCCGTGCGTGTGCATGTGCGTGGGCCTTTGCTGCCGCTGTGCGCGCGCGGGTCAAGCGTTGTGGCTTCAGGGCTTCCCGGGGCCCCTGGGTGGGATCCCTGGACAACTTCGCTCTTGATTCATTCTGGCCGGTGTGTGGATGAGCGCTTGCGGGCAAAGGGTCTCCATTGGCGTCGCTACCGCATCTTTTATAAGTGGTTGTTTGCAGAATGAATGAAAAAAGTGCCATCTTTGATTTGAAGTGTAAGGGGTGAACTCAATCACCCAAGAGAAAGGGATTACTTCTAAAGCTCTGAATCAGGCCAAGCCCGCTCATTTAGCAGAGTATTCTCAAAGAAAAGTAATGCTGGCTGGAGGCGGTAGCCTTCCAGGAAGTCGTGGCCCTGAACTAGATTTCATTTGAAGCTCCATTAGAGTTGGGGGTCAGCTCTAGGGCACTGTCCTTAAATCTGTTCTGTTGAAGTTAAAGCTCCACTACTGGTTGGGCCTGTGCCTGGCCTGAGTACCTGGGATGTCCATTCAGCTCCCAGGTTTTCTGTCCGCATTAAGAAGGGGAGTTGGATTGGAGCACTGCAGATGGCCTTTGAGTTGCTCTTATATCACGATTTAACAACATATTGCAGAAACATGCATAATTTAATATATGAAATTAGAGTGGGACCTTCCTCTTGAGCTTGTATGCAAACTAAGATAATGCTTGTTAACAGGGTACATAAATTAAAAAGAAATGATATTATGATTGCCTCTGGCCCATGTCCCTTGCTGAGGGTAGAAATGGGGTTCTCCTCCTTGGTATGGGCTGGCTGAGAAATAATGGCGAAAAATGACAGAACACAGAAAGTAGTTTCAGAAGCAGAGGCCACAACGGGCAAGCTGATCAGAGAGATCAGCTTCTAGACAAAATGGAGCCATGCCTGCTTTATTTATAAAGCTAAACATCAAAGAGATTTTATAGAATGTTCTTTTCCAAAAAAAGGTTAAAACTGGGCTCTTCAGTTCCTAATGGGTTATGCCTATCTCCAGAGCTACTATGAGGAACCTTCCTAGCAGAGTGGAGGGAAAGATCACATGCATTGGGCAATCTATTGTGGTGGGAGAGCCACCCAAAGTTCCCAAAGCCAGACCTCTCTCTCCCTGGCTTCCATGCTGAGAGAAGATCCTCATGTATTTCACGGATGGCTTCCTGAAGTTGCCCATATTTTCTAAAGGAAATTCTGTATGCCCTTGGTTGATTTTGTAATGTCAAAATTGGTTTAACATTTCCCAAGGTGCTTTTATACACACCTTTTCTAGTGTTCACAATAGCATGTGAGCATGGGGTTTAGTGAATCTATTGATGGAGACAAGATAGAATAGAGGGGTTCTAGAGTTAGTCACATCCAATTCCAGTAGTGGTTAAGTTGTTTAACTTTTTAAACCTCAATTTCTTATTCTCTGAAATGGAGATTTTTTTTTAAAGAAAAAAAAAAAGGCACGTAATAAGGCAGTTACAAGGATTGAGTGGAATAATACCAGGTAAGTGCTAGCACAAATATTAGCTCAAAAGTGCTAAAAGGACCTGCATCCACAGATGGTTGATTCCAGTGGCAGAGGCAGGCCCAGACCCAGAACATCTGTCTCCAGAGTTCATCTCATCATACTTGATCCCCTGTGAATACTTGCTTGATTCTTGTTTGCATAGCATGTACACTTCAATTCTGTTTCTATTTATGGGAGAATAATAACAGTGTGTTATGGTATAGGGTTATGTCATCAAGCAATCAAGCCTGACATTGCAGTTACTGTCTGAGAACATGGCTAGCTCTCAGAAATGTTCATTACTACTGCCCCCCCCAATATCACGCATGGACATTTTTATTCATTCTGCTTTTGTTTATTATCCGCTTACTGTGTGAAGACAATCTTTTTGCCTATGGCTAGGTTAAGTCTTCTCACGTATGATTAATCTGATGAAATTAGAATAATTCAGAAAAACACTCAAGGTAGAATGACACATCTTGACATATTGATTCTGTATCAGTTATTCCTTACATTTATGTTTGTGTCACCCAGGTTCTGCCTGGCTGTTTCTTGCTTGGTCATGAAGTTCATGGGGATGAATCTAAATTAAAGATACAACTCCATAGGAAGGAGGAGCAAGAGGTGGGAAAACAAAAGAGAAGGGCCTGACCCAGACTCTCATTTGTGTTCCCAACTTAATTGTGTATCTCCCAACACTCATGAGGTTCATAGGAAACATCAGCTGACAAGTTCTAACTTAGGGGAGTTATTCAGGATCAGAGCCTTCCTCAAATAAGTGTTTTTCCTCTCCTATAGACTATATTCCTAGGTGATAGTTAGGATCCAATAACTGCTGGGGGACACTCAGAGCATGTTGACCCTCATTGGGGATGTCCATGGCCTCCTGAGTGGAACCTGTTTCTAAGGAAACCAAGGCCTGGGCCTGTGGTGTGAAGTGTAAGGTGCTAGGGCCTGGCGTGTGTTCAAAGCAGCCCCCTAAAGATTCTTGGGAGGCTAAGGCGGGAGGATCTCAAGTTCAAAGCCAGCCTCAGCAAAAGTGAGGCGCTAAGCAACTCAGTGAGACCCTGTCTCTAAATAAAATACAAAATAGGGCAGGGGGTGTGGCTCAGTGGCCGAGTGACCCTGAGTTCAATCCCCAGTAACTCCCCTCCCCGCCACCAAAAAAAAAAATTCTTGGAAATGTCAGGTCATTTGGGGTTCTCACAGAGGAGTGGAGTTGATTTCTCCTTCACATCGACCCTGGACCCTCCTGATGGTTTTGACCGTGAAGCACTGGTAAATGAGAGTGGGCCAGTTCTGAGTAGAGGCTTTGAGAAGCAGCCTGTGTTCCACTGGTGTGTTGTGTGGTCTGCCTCCAGAGGAACACACACAGGTCACCACTTCCTCTTCAGCCTGGGCCCTTGAAGGCAAACAGATCTGAGAGAAGGAAGCCAGCCCGAAAGCCTACCTGAGCCCACCCCAAATTGGGGCAGACAACAGTTCATCCACAGACCCACGAGCGAGAAATAAAGGTTTGTTTTTTGAGTCACTGGGAGGTCATGTTTTGGGCATGGTTATTGAGCAAAACCCAGTACACCTGCAGAATGAGATATGTCCCACCCGGTGTCATAAGCACCCATCCCCCACTGGCTGCTCTGAAATCCCTGGGTATGGCAAATGAACAAAAATAGATCCACACAGAGACAGAGGTGTGCACATTCAACAAAGGATCACATAATGATCACACAGTTGTACATGGTGATAAGTGCTTTCAAAAACATTGCATATGATGAAAAAGGAAGAGGAAGGACTAGTTTTGATTGAGAAATCAGGGAAAACTCCAAAAACACATTTAAGACCTGTAGGGCCAGGGAGAGAAGGCCAAAGCGGGGAGGGATTGCATTTCAGGCAGATCTGGGAACAGGATCAAAGGAAGGAACTAGGTGTGCGTGACTCTTCAGAGGACAAAGTGACTGGAACACAGTGGACATGAGATGGGGCCATAAGAACAGCAGGACCCAGCAGAAGGCCTCACTGGGAACCGGCTGAGTTTTTTTTATTAAGCACAAGAAAAACCATCAAAGGATCTCTGTTTTAAACTAAAATTTACTTGGGCAAATATATTAGTT